GAGCTTTTTGTCAATGACTCCCAAATCAGTTGGCTTTAGGGCATTAGGTGAAGAGACACCCCTAAGAACATACTTACACAAGTAACAAAGGCCACGAAACATTCGACTTTTCTTTCTTTTATATTTTTTTGTCCAAAGTAGTTTTAAGGAATAATTAGACAGGATAGTCATCACAGAAACAATGGCACCTACTCACAATATGCATATAATTTCCAACCAAACCATTATAAAATCAGCTCTCTCAACTCCTCTCATCAAGGTATTACTAAATTTTGAGCTAATAATCAAAGAAGAACAGTATCCTTCACTTGCAACATCTATGCAACAAAATATGTATAGGCTCATTTGACTATATTCACACCATGCTAAAAAATTAGATTCACATGCATGTATCCAATACTCTAAATCTTCAAATCAGAACAGAAGCAAGAACACAAAAATATCCTCCCCCAAACTTAAAATTAACATTCTCCTCAATGTAAAAATAAATAAATGAATAAGAGAAGAAAAACAATACTCCCCTATCTTGCTCTTCCTGCTGTAGGCATGCAATGTGTTCTTGTAGAGCCAAAAAATCTTGTCGTAAGTGCCTAAGATGCTGCAAGTGCAATAAAAAGCTAACCCAGCCAAAAACTCAACACAAATTAGTCAAAAGAAAATGAATAAAAGAATGAAATAACTCAATGCAAAATAGAAAAATGTCAAATAACAGTTTTTTTTTTTTTGATGGGTTGCCTCCCATTAAGCGCTTATTTACAGTCATTAGCTTGACTATCACTGCAAAATGGTCAAGGATCTTTCAATAAAATGGTGGAAATAAATGCTGGAAAATTACCACCTTCAATATAAATTTTCAACCTTTGTCCATTCACCTTAAAAGTTCTCTTCGTATCATGTGAAATTTCAACAACTCCATAAGGGAGAACCTTAGTCACCACAAAAGACCACTCCATCGGGATTTCAACTTACCTGGAAAAAGTCGCAATCGAGAATTGAAAAGAAGAACCTTGTCCCCCACGTGAAACTCTTTCTTTTGCACATGTAGATCATGCCATGCCTTGGTTCGTTCCTTTAGATCTTGGCATTTTCATAGGCAGCAAGTCGTAGTTCTTCCAATTCATTCAACTGCAATTTTCTATGTTCACTTGCATCTTTCAAATCAAAATTCAAGTATTTAATAGCCCAATATGCCTTATGCTCAAGTTCCACAGGAAGGTGACAAGCCTTACCAAAAACTAACCTATAAGGAGACATACCTATCGGAGTTTTGTAAGCTGTCCTATAAGCCCAAAGTGCATCATCTAATTTGAGTGACCAGTCTTTCCTAGACAAATTAACTATCTTTTCCAAAATTCTTTTCAATTCCTTATTAGACACCTCAACTTGTCCACTTGTTTGAGGGTGATATGGAGTAGCAATTTTATGGGTAACACCATATTTAGCCAATAAATTTTCAAATTGCCTATTACAGAAGTGTTTACCTCCATCACTAATAACAGCCCTAGGTGTGCCAAATCTAGTGAAAATATTACTCTTCAAAAATTTAACCACCACCCTAGCATCATTAGTAGGACATGCAACAGCCTCTACCCATTTACTCACATAATCTACCGCAACAAAAATATATGCTTTGCCAAAAGATGAAGGAAAAGGACCCATAAAATCTATGCCCCAAACATCAAATATGTCACACACCAAAATATTAGTCAAAGGCATTTCATGTCTCCTAGAAATATTACCAGTTCTTTGGCATTGGTCACATGCACTCACATAAGCATAAGCATCTTTAAATAAAGAAGGCCAATAAAATCCACATTGCAAAACCTTATATGCTATTTTGGAGGCACCAAAATGACCACTACCTTCTTTGTCATGAAAAAAACTCAAAATTGCATCTACCTCTTCTTGTGGTACACATCTCCGAATCATTCCATTGCCACATATCTTGTAAAGAAATGGTTCTCCCACAAATAATGTTTAATATCAGAAAAGAACTTCTTTTTCTGTTGAAAAGATAAGTTAGGAGGTAAGACATTACTCACAAGATGATTAACAAAATCTGCGTACCAAGGTAAAGAAGACAAAGCACACAAAGAAACTAAACACAATTGCTCATCTAGAAACTCATCAAGCAAAAGTTGATCATCCCCACATTCCACATGCACCTCATCTAACCTGGACAAATGATCAGCAACAGAATTTTCTACACCTTTTCTATCCTTAATTTCTAAGTCAAACTCTTACAACAACAAAATCCATCTCAACAACCTAGGATTGGCATCTTTTTTAGCAAGCAAATATTTAAGTGCAGAATGATCAGTATGAACAATCACCTTGGACAAAATTAGATAAGGCCTAAACTTTTCAAAAGCAAACACCACAGGAAGCAACTCTTTTTCAGTAGTAGTGTAATTCTTTTGAGCATCATTTATTGTTCTACTTGCATAATAAATGGTGTGAAATTTCCTATCTTCTCTTTGTCCCAAAACTGCACCTAAAGCATCATTTCTAGCGTCACACATTATCTCAAAAGGCAAATCCCAACAAGGTGCAACAATAATAGGAGCATTAACCAGTTTCTCTTTCAACAATTGAAAAGCATTCATACAATCATCATCAAAGAAAAATGGTGTTTCCTTAACCAAGAGATTAGTAAGAAGCTTAGCAATTTTTGAGAAGTCCTTAATAAATCTCCTATAAAAACCAGCATGTCCAAGAAAACCTCTAATTTCTTTAATTGATTTAGGAGGAGCAAGCTTTTCAATTATCTCAATTTTAGCTTTATCAACTTCAATACCTTTAGAGGATACTTTATGACCTAGCACTATACCTTCCCTAACCATAAGATGGCATTTTTCTCAATTCAATACTAGGTTAGTTTCCTCACATCTTTTAAGCACCCTAGACAGATTATGTAAGCATCCATCAAATGAAGAGCCAAAAACTGAAAAATCATCCATAAAAATTTCCATGAACTCATCAACAAATTCAGCAAATAAAGCCATCACACATCTTTGGAACGTACCTGGAGCGTTGCACAAACCAAAAGGCATTCGTCTAAAAGCAAAAGTACCATATGGGCAAGTAAATGTTGTTTTCTCTGGATCCTCAGGGGCAATAGGAATTTGATGATAACCAGAATAACCATCCAAAAAACAATAATATTCATGTCTAGCAAGTTTCTCAATCATTTGATTAATAAATGGCAGTGGATAATGGTCTTTTCTAGTAGCTTCATTAAGTTTCCTATAATCTATGCACACTCTCCACCCTGTTATTATTCTAGTGGGAATAAATTCATCATTTTCATTTTTTACCACAGTTGTCCACCCTTTTTAGGCACTACTTGCACAGAACTTACCCAAGCACTATCAGAGATAGGAAAAATAATACCTGCATCCAACCATTTGATTACCTCCTTTTTTACCACCTCCTGCATGTTAGGATTAAGGCGTCTTTGAGGCTGAACAATCGACTTGTGCCCCTCCTCCAACAGAATTTTATGCATGCAAACCGAAGGGCTAACTCCTTTGATATCCGCTATGCTCCATCCTATAGCTCCTTTGTGTTCTCGCAACACCCTTAAGAGTTTCTCCTCCTCTATTCCTGTCAAAGAAGTAGAAATTATAACAGGTAAGGTATTTGAATCACCCAAATAAACATACTTGAATTGAAAAGGAAGAGGTTTTAATTCAAGAGTAGGGGGCTCCTCTTTGGATGGCTTGACTGTCACAGTGGACGGTGCATCTAAGGGCAAAAAATTCCCTCCTTTTTGTGGTTGCCTATGGCATTTTCCCCCAAGAATAGCTGCTGCCTCCAAAATGTTATTGTCTGCACTATCAGCTTTCACATCCAAAGCATTAACAATGCAATTATCAATAGGATCATCTAATCTAGAAGCATTAAAATTTTCAGCCACTACATTGGCTACCACATCAATCCTTAAAACAGCACTGCCATCATGATCACAATTTTTCATAGCATCAAGCACATTAAAAACAATCTCCTCATCATGTATTCTAAGGCTAAGTTTCCCTTGTTGAACATCAATAAAAGCTCTACCAGTAGCAAGGAATGGTCTCCCAAGAATTCAAGGCATTTCAAAATCCTCTTCCATGTCAAGAACAATAAAATCAACAGGAAAAATAAATTTGTCAACTTTTACCAAAACATCCTTTACCACTCCTCTTGGATATTTTATGCTTCTATCCACCAATTGAAGAGAGACTGTGGTAGGTGAAGGTTCTCCTAATCCAAGCTTCCTAAATACATGAAAAGGCATCAAATTAATGCTAGCACCCAAATCGCACAAAGCCTTATCAAAATTAACATTGCCAATAATACAAGGAATAGAAAAACTCCCTGGATCCTTCAACTTAGGAGGTAACTTATTCTGAAGAATAGCAGAGCATTCTTCATTTAACTTCACCATCTCGAACTCCTCTAACTTCCTTTTATT